AGAGCCGCGCCCGGTGTGTTGCAGGTGCCGGAGTCGCAGTACGGCACGTTCGTGTGGCCCTGCGCCGTGGTCCTGGCCCAGTACCTCTGGGTCCACAGGAGGAGCCTGCCGGGCAAGCGGGTGCTGGAGGTACGGCACGCCTGCCCCTCTCGGCATCCCCTCTGCTTTGGCGAAAGGGGGAGTCCCCCCGGCGTCTCTGTGATCGCGTCGTGGTTTCAGATCGGTGCCGGCGTGAGCCTCCCCGGCGTGGTGGCGGCCAAGTGCGGAGCCGAAGTGATCCTGTCCGACAGCGAGGAGCTGCCCCAGTGCCTGCAGAACTGCCGGAGGAGCTGCCTGGCAAACGGCCTGCCCCACGTACTTGTCGTGGGGCTCACCTGGGGGCAGGTGTCTCCAGAGCTGCTCTCTCTGCCTCCCATAGACATTATTTTAGGATCGGATGTCTTTTTTGACCCAAAAGGTATGTCAGCGCTTTCAGGTATCTTTTATTTGTGACAAACTGCAAGGACTGTGTGTTCAAAGAGCACCGGGAATGCTGTCGAGATCAGGTGACAGCCATTATGGTGAGACTGTGCTACTGGGGTAATTCTAGCATTGGGCTGTCACATAAATACCGCTGCAGGGTGGGTGAAAAGGGAGTAAGTAATTAACAGCTTACTTAAGGCCATCTCCTCAGGTTTCTCATACAGGTGCAGTTAGTCTTGTATGGATTTTTAATTGCTCTCTCATATAACCAAGCATATTTAACTGTACCTAAAATCCACAAACTAACCACAACTACTTCATCTCCCCCCACTATACAGACTTTGAAGATATTTTAACTACAGTTTACTTCTTGCTGGAAAAGAATCCACATGCTCAATTCTGGACTACTTATCAAGTGCGAAGGTAAACTTTTATTTACTATTTAAAACTGGAATCTTAATTCCCATCTTAGGTTTTATTAAAGAGTGTTAACTTCTGAGGCACCACTGCAGTGATTCCAGAGAAGCTCCTCATAGATGGTGGATCAGGCTGGTATTAGCCAAGTAAATCCTAGAGACTGCACACAAACCAGAAAATAATCCAAGAACCACAAAACTGCTGTTAACTGTAGAACTACTACAGACTCAGTTTTGTGACCTGTTCTGTTGAAGCTCAGTGAGTCTCCTGCCACTGCTGCAGAAGTCAGAAGCCTGGGTTAGATTTTCACACCCTGTTATTTCCTCCCCTCAGTGCTGACTGGTCTATTGAAGCTCTGCTCTGCAAGTGGAAACTGAAGAACATCAATGTTCCCTTAAGGTCCTTCAGTGCAGACAAAGAGCACTTGGCCAGCTCTCCTCTACCAGGAAGACACACAATTGAAATGATGATCATCTCACTAGCAAGCTCAGATGATACTTAAAGTTTATTCCACTTGTTGGTACCAATACAAGAGGACACTCTAATGTTCACTGCTGCATGGATCTGCAGGAAACACTCCTCTTTACAGCAAACCTCATGCATATTTCTTTAGAAGCAGATCCCCTTAGCAATAAATCTAAACACATGCATTGTAAAAATAAATGTTTAACTGTTAAGCTATGGCTTTTGAGAAATTTGTGCTCCTCCCCAAATAATAATAGTTCAAAGACCACGTAATAGTTCAGACTCAGTTCCATTATGTAAGCCACTGCACCATAGTTTAACCACCTGCCAATCCACAAGATTGAACTTAAATCCACAACTTCAGCTATGAGGAAAAGTTAACTGCACTCTTTCAAGATAGAAGTTATCCCCATAAGATCTGTGTCCCAAGACTGAGGCTCTTTCCTGAAGATTCATGGACAAAAGCTAGCCCTTTGTTTTTAAATGCATCTGTAGACTGCCATAAGCCATGCAGTCCTGGATGAACAAACTCAAATTTGTAGAAAAGTACTTTTAATCCTCAATCAAGACAGATTGCAAGTATTCAGATGTTTCCATTCCCATTAAACATACATGCAAAAAAGTTAACAGCATTACAATAACCCTCGACACGTAATGGTTGAAGTTACAATGCATTTGGTATCCAAATCAAGGAAAAAAATGATCACTAAGGCTAGCTACCATCAAGCAGCAGCCTGTTGCGTCGGGCAAGCACACAGCAGTAAGTGCTGCTCAGTGTGTATCTTCCGTAACAACGTACAACGGACCTGTCTGATTCTGTATTTGTAGTCGTGGTGTGCAATACTTGCCATACAACATTTGGGTTAGTCACAATACTAGTTAAATTTTAAATTTAATTTAAAAGCAACCCCCATGGATGAAATTTATAAGCAGTAGAATGCATTCAGTTACTCTATAGAAGTTAAACATTGACGGGATAATTGCAGAAATCTTTTCAAGCTAAAAATAAGCTGACTCAAGACATTAAGTTGAGAAAAGTTAACACAGAAAAATGTTTAATATTAACTACAGAGACAGTGGGTATAGTACAGAATGTCTTAAGCAAAAGATACACCAATCGGTACTTACAAAGGAATGAACCATTTCTTTTTTAACATTACATTTCTCATATGTAAGTTCATATATGCAGGTTGGTAAGTTTTACCATTCTGGAAAAAATAGGGTGTGTATATCATCAGCTAGATGTGCTCACTGTATGCTCCATTATTTTTACGCAAGGCCCGGGTGACTGGAAGTGCAGTTGTCAGGCATTTTAATTAACTGGACAGCCATTTGTTTCTGCACGACAAGGCATCGTTACACAGGAGCAATCAGGAGAAAACAGGAAACAGCCAAGCACTCTGCACTGCAACACGCCACCTTAACAGCTAACCAGCATTACTCAACTGCTACACAACTGCGCCTAGTGCACAAAAATACATAAGAGAAGAGATTAGAATTGAGTCTGATAAAGCAATCCTTTCAAATATCAACTGTCACCTGAAAAGATTTCTACCAATTTGAATTTGAAGATACTATTTGAATTCAAAGTTTAAAGAAAAGCATTTACAGTAACTTTCAAATCAAACTTTTGTAGAATTTTATTTAAGGAATGAAGACAAAATTGAGAATACTTTTTGACAGTTAGCTACTCAGCATGTAAGGGCTGCCTGTTTCCTCAGTATGAAACTGGAGGCAGCAAGTTACCATCAGTTTAATTTCAAATGAAAGTCAGCACTATATAAACAAAAATGAAGTTTTACCTCAAATATCCAAGCCAATAATGAAATCTGTAGTCGTTCACTTCACTAAATTACAAGAAATTTGAATAACAGCAACAAAATGGCACATAAAATGTAAAATCTGCCACTTGAGGCGCAAATTAAACAAGTAAAAAGTTAGACAAAAATGTTACAAAATAACCTTTTCGACAGCTGGTTGCTCGTGCCAGGGGTCTCTCCAATGGACTGAAGACTCAAGCGATCTTTTCCCCCCAAAGGCGTCCTTTATGTAGATTCTCACTTATCTGATGCATCTAGGTTTGAAGAAAGAAAAGATCAGCCAGGTTTCTACCTTGTCTCTTTTGGTGGTGTGGATGACTTCAGGTATACTTCTAGTTGTTTCAACTGGCTTTGCCTAATTTAATTAAGTTTTGGGAATTTCCATAATGCGCCACCTCCCCCCCGTGATCCTTTACTTCAGAGGCCAAATGTAAGGTTCTGTCAAAGTCTTTAGTTAAAGAAGAACAAGCATCAGGCTGTACATCAAGCCACCATTAACTTCAATTCAGCCTGTTCAATAATAAGTTATTATAAGTTAAATCAAACGTATAAAACTAATACTTTTTCATAGAGACTTAACTAAACTCTAATTAGCATTCAAAACAAAGTGTGACTAATTTTGCTACAATTACCTAACTTCAGAGCTAGCTTAGGCCCTTTCCTTTAAAAACAGGACCAAACAATTTGAAGGGTTAAAGACACACTATCCTTTCCCCACCCGGTGTATCCTTAGATGCCTCTTCAATATGTCGACTCAAGGAAAAACTAGTTTCCGTGGTTTTCTCGTTGCAAGGAATTTGCCACTTTTCTAGAACAGTTACCTCCAGTCAGTACAATGGCCACTGAACCGATCTTCCATTATAAAAGGATAGTGTATCTTTAACATTTAAAGACAAACCTGCTCCAATACACGCCCACAGAAACTGGTCCCTGGAGGATCAGCCAAATCAGTTAAAATCTGCAATACTGGCCAATATTCTTTTAGCAAACAGGAGACCGCAGCTTTAAAGGGGAAAATGCAGATGTTGGATAAATACAGTAAGAAATAGTCATTTTCATCATAGGTTGCGTCTCATACAATATTTTATTAAAACCAAGCCATTAATCTCTCAATAATACATTTTCTCTGTAAAAAAAATTCTCCATAGAAAGCCCTTTGGTATTAATTTCCCTAAACCAATAACCAAAAAGCATGGCTCAAGAAAAACAAAACAAAACAAACAGCAAACCAAAAACAATGTGCCCCATTAGGATCCACTTGGTTCCAGCTATGAATACTCTAAGAACTACCCAACACCCCACCTAAGTGTGCTATGATAAAGTATCATGCAACATGTGCTGATCCCCAGGTACATTACCATGTTCCTAGGAGGAGACAGCTCCTTCTTCTTCAGGAGACTTGGGAGGGCTCTTAGACCTGGATCTAGAATTGGATTCCCTCTTTGAGGCTGGGGGAGGGCTTCTAGATCTGGAGCGGGATCTTGACCTGGACCGGGATCTGGAGACAGATGAGGACTTTGACTTGGATCTCCTGGCAGACCTGGACTTGGAGGTGGAGCGAGACCGAGAGCGCGTGCGAGACCGGGATTTGGATCGACTGTAGCGGGACCGACTGCGGGATCTAGAGCGGCTCCTGCTTCTAGATCGGCTGCGACGGCGTCTTCTAGGGCTAAAACACACCACGAGGAGGGAGGGAAATTAAAAAGACCGTTAAAAGTTGAACACGGGCGGCGCAACAGACTTCAGCGACTACTACGGGACAGGGAAGGCGGAACAGAACCCACGTGGGCAAGAAAATGAGTGTTAAGAGGGCGCCATTGTTCAGAGTGAGTGGCCGGGGGCTAAAACTACTACAGGGCGAAACCCTTCCGCTTCAAGAGAACTCCACGTGTCATTGCTGCTAAACTCCGATCTCCCCCTCCCAACTCTGCCGTGAAACTCAATCAGAAAAGGAAACTAAACGGAACGGCTCCGTCCCCTTGCCTTATTACTGAAGCTTCGCTGCCCCCCTGCACCCTTCTCAGGCGCTCACCTGCGGCTGCGACGGCCGTAGCCA